TAAATCCAATTGAATATCCCCGTGTCAATATTTTATTGGAGTTGGGACATCTCTGTAGGTCCAAACTCCGCACCTAATAATTTCTTGGATGGAAGAGCTTTTGTATTGATTTTAACTTTGACTTGTACCAAATGATGGTGTTAAGATTTTGGTGGAAGAGAAAGATGAAGCTCTTTGAGCTTCTTGGAAGAGAGAGGAAAGAATAGAAGAGAGCTATTCAGACCATCAATCTTTATTGCTTATTGGCTTGTTTTCTTATTACAAACTATAACATCTATATATAGGCATTAATGATAGCATAAAAAGCTTCACAATAATCTAAACTAATGAAATTACAACTAAATCCTGGCCAATCACGACAAATTGAATGATATTTTTATAAAAAATATAACAATTAACGCTATATTTCTATCAACTTCTGCAATTAACTACAATCTCCCATCCCTCCCCCATCCCCTTCTTATATTTTTGCTGTGGTAAAAGCTCTGTCAAACATTTCAATTAGCATATCGAGTGATCTTATCTCTCTTCTAATCAACAGTAATTCTTGTCGACCGGCACAGAATTTTGATATGATTATAGAAAACTTATAAGATTATTTTAATCATTATTACAAAATTCCTGCAAGAAAAGTACAAAATCCTTAATTTGCTCTAGCTAGCCAATAACGTTATAAAAGAAGATCCAAAACTGTTTGGACCGCATTAATCTGCTTCTCAACATTGCGTTCTCAACCGAGAATTAAACTGCTTTGAACGGTTTGACGCAGGCCTGTTGATACTATAATATTAATATGAGATATCTAGGAACACAAGGAGAATTTAGTTAAGACAAAAAAGGTGGATAAGTCTTGGCATAAGTGTTATAAATATTTTGATTGATGAATATGGGAATAACCCATCCTCTAGATCTAAACAACTAATGGAGTCATTGATTAAAGTTTTTAGGGTTTAATCCTATAATCAATGTCATCTAAGGATGGGTTTAGATTTGATCAAACCCAAGGTTTTGATTTGATTAGCCCTAATGCAATAATATAATGGTAAGACTTTAATTAAAAGTACATCATAATATATGAACAATATTGATAGAGTGCGAAAAATAAAGTATTATAATGTTAGGATTGTGTTTTGTTCTCTATCTCAATTTCATTTTTAGAAAGTCTCACTCTCATTGTGAGTCAGCACATTTGGTCTCTCTTTTCCTCTTTATATCTACACCAACTCTTCTCTTCATTTTTGACCCATCACTTTTCCTTTCACTCAGCTCTAGCCTCTTCTTTCAGTTTATCATTCTTTCACCCTCTTTCCTCCTTCCCTTATCAAGAAATATCTCAGCTTGGAAACTCTATCTCTCTCCATGGATGTGTGTGTCATCATTTATCAACCCTTTGAAGTAGAGATACACATTCACATATATTGACACCATTTTTTGGATGTATTAAGTCACATATATCTCATTTATTCTTTTTAGGAATGTTTGGGAGATAGCTCTCACATTTACACTCTCGGTTCTTTTATTATGGTATACAAACCGAATATAAATCTTTTGGGGTTTATGGTTACAAGATCGATGCTCTAGTATTGACTTGGCCCTATCTCTATCTAGATTACTTCAGATCTCCCTAATTCACTCAAATTCTTATACACATAATTGAATTGTTTGCCTGTCTCATTTAGCTTGGTAAAGTTTGAACTTTGGATTTTTCTCCTATTGAAAGACTTGGTTAGATTTACCTTTATATGTTAGACTTTCTATTTTGAGTCATCATAATATATCAATAACATGAAATCAATGTATACACTCTCCACTTAGTCAACTTTGGACACTATATTATGCCTACTAGATCTCACTCAATGTTCTATTACACTGATTAAAATCTTAATTTCTTAGTACATGTATTATAATCACCTCGAATAATCGTAATTTTCAAGCACTAGGAGATAATAGTAGCCAAGAAAATCCTAAGTTGAGTCCAACTTTATTGCTCTCAAGTTATTTGTGAGGCATATGGGTTATGTTGTTATAAGTAAACCATGTGACACATTATCTATAAGGTTTGAATTTCTTGAGTAAAATTATGCTCTTCTTATAGAAAAATGATTGCAAGAAGAAAATTTTCAAATTAATTATTGTCTTACATAGTTTGGCATGCTTGAATCTTTTTATATGTATAAAACTTCAATTATGATAAACATGCATCAATATATCATTTCTTGAAATGGATCACACTGTTACATCCACGTATGTGCGCTAAGATTGAACATTATTTGGTTGCCCATCGATAGATTAATCTCATTTTAAATTAGAAAGGATAACTTGATCTCACTAATCATTTTAGTGGCATTCATGACAAGTCATGATATAAGTTCAACATTCTAGACTTCATGATGATTTTGTAAGTCCCAACCCCTAGGATTCTTTAATGGTTTAGAAGATTCACAATCATATCCCAACGTTCTATAAACTTCCCTTGGGATTCTCCTCTTCTATGGTTGTGGGGTATAAGTCTCATATATTAGTGTAAGATTAGTTTTCCTTTATACATTGAAGCCTATGAAGTCCCCTTGGACGACTCAACTCATGGTTGCTGATAAGGGAAGATATTATGGCTAGATAAGTTTGATCATCTTTTATGACTAAATGAACTGGGAGTTATAACAATTTGAGATAATGGATACATCTTGATCGAAGTTATCCTCATATCCCTTAGGTTATTCCACCCTTTTACTTAAGTTTGTCAGCCCATTTCTTATGATAGATTATGCCTCTCTAGGTTAGATCTCCTCCATAGGATAGTTTGTTTTCTCTAGGATAGTTAGAAATTCTCTTAGGATAATCATCCATCCCATAGGATTTGTATGTCCCCTTCCTTAGGATAGTTTTCCTCTTCCCTTAGGATAAGATGCCCTTTTCTTAGGTCATCATCCCATAGGATCTATCATTTTTGTGTCCTCTTTTGTATACTTATGGGGCTAGTAGCTAAAGCTATTATCTCATGATCCAAATTTGTTTGATGTTCTAAAATATAAATATCATCATATTTGAAGTTGTTTTCTTGGCTTTTATTCTCTTGAGTGTCCATATGTGAGAATTATTTTTCTAAAATTAAAGCAACTAGCTTCTTATAAGATGTTCTTCTATTCTATTTTTGGGTGACTAATAAGCTTTTCTATTTGTCATTCAACATATTTTTTTTTTTTTCTTTCAACACTTATTAATAAATAAATTATAATAAAAATTGATGAAACTCAATAAAAATAATAAGATCCGTTGCCATTTTGCAGCCAGCCGTTACTGAAATCCAAGCAGCGAAGCAAATTCCAAAATCCCAACCCTCTGACGTTTGTCCGATTTCTCCGAACGCCAACCCTTCAAGCCAAATGTTCAGAGTCTGCTTCACTGAATGAAGGAAAAGCTTAAGATACAGAGGAACAATGTCAAAACAGCTGGACTGCTCTCCAACTTTAAGAATCCTTCCATTAGTTAATATTATTCTAAGCACAGGAAATATGCCTTAGGACTCAGAGCCAGCTAGCTATGCTGGAGAGTTGATCCAGTTCTCCAAAATGATGAATAACTATATTCAACTTGTTCAATCATCTTTCATTAAATAAATTACAAGAATTTAAAATAGTGAAATTAATGAATAAAATAAATGAATTTGTTTTAATTGTGGTGCCATTGGCTTGCTAGATCCAGAACCAGGAGAATTCTGGTGTTCTTCTTTAAGTTTAAGGAACTCTTCCTGCTTTTAAAATGGAAAAGGTGGTTGGACACTTTTTCTTTGTTTTTGGCGAACAAAGAATCATTGCTTGGTTGCTGTTGAGTGTTTTTACTCGGCAAAGACTTGATTGATTTTGCTGAACAGAGAGTCCTCTTGATTGTTCAGATTGTTTTCTATCTTGGGTGGCTTAAAGTATGTTAGTTTTTCAAATGATAAGCTATTTTTTCAGCTTGCGTTCTTAATTTAGAAGGCAACCATTAATTTAGCTGTAAACTCTCATTTATAATCTGTTTGGAATAACTTTTTTGAGCTTTATTTTTTAGATTATTTGACTATTTCTTTCTCTTTGCTTTTAATACATTTTTATACTATGAAGTTAAATTTTAAGATATCTTTAAAAAAGTTATTTTTTAAAAATAATTTTAAAATCACTCTATTCGTTAAGAGCTTTGGTTGTTAACTAAGAAATTTTATGTTCGAGGCCTACGTATGTGATGTGTGTGTGAATATGATTTAGGCTTCGTTTGAGACTGCTTTCTTACTACTTGATACGTCATCACAAAATTAGCTTGATCGGGCACGAATCTTGAGGCAAAAGCTAGTTGAAGACTTCAAAAATTAAATCCGGGAGCTAATTTGATCACCCCTGGAGGTGATTCAGTCCTTTGTAACAACTCAAAGTCTAGTGGAATCATTTTCAACTGGGCTAGGCCTCATGGTTTTTCCCTTTTTAGGGTTTTCCACGTAAAAAATCTTGTGTTCTCTGTGTGTGTGCTAGTTATACGTACAACGCTAAGACGTAGAATCAAGTCTCTATCGCCGTGTAATTTCTAGCCCGCAACACTACTTCTTTATACTAGCAAACTGATCCCATAAGCATTAAGAAAATAATTCCAAATAAAACCTTAATTAATTTAAAAAAAAAAACTTCTTATAGCTGCAGCTTTCTCAAACAAAATCACTTACAAAATGAATTTCTTGTCTTGCAGAATCATTCGATTCTCTCTATATAAGTTGGTAGCTGGAAGAAAATATGTTTAAGAAATTAATCTGCTATGATTCCGAGAGAGAATATCTGCACTTCGGTTTAATTAATTCTTATAATGTTTATACAGAACCAACGGTTTTTATTTTTAAATAAATTTGAGAGAGAAAAGAGAGGGATGTGTCATCGTTCTTCTCTCCAGCCGGCCATAGATGAGTATATATTTAACCTTACAAAAGTCCCCTTCAGCTCAACGTATAACCGCGTACATCCGTCTCCTCCATAGCAATGGAAGGAGAAGAGCAGGAGGAGCATCACAATGAGACAGAACCACCGGAATCGGCCGGCGACGATGCAGGAACTTATGCTGGAGCAACTGCCGGAGCCGGCGCCGGCCGGTTCTACGAGTGCGTATTTTGCAAGAGAGGCTTTTCTACGGCGCAGGCCCTGGGTGGGCACATGAACATCCACCGGAGAGACCGGACCAAGCTTGGGTCCGCCCGCTCGTCTCCTCCGGGCCCAAGAAGGGCCGAGGAGGCCTACCACCCTTATTCCAGAGAACAACGGCGTACTTTACCTCAAGCTGTTGAGTCCAGCTCGTCGAACTATGCGGTTTACTTTCCGGGTTCGTCGTCGACATCTGGCAGTGGAGATAAAAGAGAGCTCGTGCTCGCCGGCGAAGAACTGCAATTGGGCTTGAGCGAGCCGGGACAAGAGACCAGGAAGGAGAAGGGGAAGGATGATCAGGTGGTCTCAGAGTATTTAGATTTGGAGCTTCGGCTTGGTCACAGCAAAGGGCATGAATCTTCATGAAATGGAGTATAGTGATAGATTAGCATTCGATCGTTTTGCTGATTGGTTTCAATTTTTCGTTGTTTAATTGTGCGATCAAACAATGTGGATTGGACAGAAATTTTAGAAGAATTAATGTTCTTATAGGAGGATAAGAAGTTCACATAAAGGAAAGAAATGAATTTTTCATGAAGTTCAGTCAATACAGTTTGATAGCAGTAATCTTATCTTTCAATTGGCATGCAGTGAAGTTGTTTACATGGAAAATAAAATTGGGCGAGATACAGAAAGAAGTTTTGAAATTTTTTAATTTATTTTATGGAAAAGTCGAATGATTGTTTCATTATAAAATAAATTTATGATTTTGAAATTATCCTGCCTAATTTTTCTTTTTAAGTAGGGGAATTAACTATATGACATCCAAGTCTTGTAAAATCAACTTACAAACAACAAATTAGCAGTTTCTTTATGAAAAGCTAATGAGCTAAAGAGAAGACTTTGATAGATAGATGAGATTCATATATGACATTGCTTATGTATTTATTTAATCAAAAAATTTGATTTTTTTGCATTATATATATTTTTAATCATACTATTCTTTAGCAGCAGTTTTAATTCCTATTAAAAGTACTGCTAAAACTTTCCTGCACAAGCAGCTTCTAAACCGCTGCGAAAGTCTTTCCAGCAAACACAAATACAACGGATTTGTAGCGGTCTCTAAACCGCTGCAAATAATTTTGCATATACTTAAACCACTACTATATGATTTATTAGTAGTGATATATATATATATATATATATATATATACTATTTTGTAAGAATATTTGAGGCAATAGAGAGGGATTTATGCCATTGTTTTTTACGATAATCTCGCACACACAGATAAAAGCCATTCACAAGAAACACTGAAATCTATACATAAAAAATTCGGGTTAGTTGAAATAGTCTACTATATAAATTAAGCTACAAAGATCCCACTACAGGAAAACCCCTTATTACCGGCGGACAAAATCCGCCTGAAATATTAGAAATCCGACGGAAAATATAGTTTCCGGTAACGTACGCCGGAAATGTTCCGCCGTAACGTGCGACGGAAATGGTTTAGACATTACTATATCGTCGGATTTACCGGCGGAACCGGCGTCGGTAACTTTACGACGTATTTTGCGCCGAAAATGGCGCCGCAAGATTTTCGTCGAACATTTCCGCCGTTACCTGCGCCGTTATTACCGGCGCACAATTCTCCGCCGGAAAATCCGACGGTAATCGCGTGTTTTCCCGTAGTGTCCATTCTTCTTCTTAATTGAAAAAGTCGGTATAGGGCTGCAAGCGAATCAAACGTTCGACGAGCTACTCGTTGTTCGGTTCAATTAAAGCTCGTTTGTGATATTTTAACTAACTAAACAAATAAATTTGAACAACATTTTTAATGCCCGATCCTTCAATAAACAAGCTTAAACTCAAATGTGTTTAGTTCATTTATGTTCAGGAACAACATATATCATTTGAAGCTCGTGATCATGAACAAGCACGATAAGAAGCTTGATTCGTGTTCGAGTTAGACCTCGTGAATAAGCTCGATAAATAGATTCATATAGAGATTAAACATATTTTCATTTTAAATGGGCAACTACTTTTATTATAAATTTAATATCATTTTATTTTATACCTTCAGAAGAATGAATTTCTTCATGAATAAGAGACATTTCACATTTGTTCATGTTTGCTAGATTGTTTCTTTAAGATGTTCATAAAAAAATATAAGATGAATCATAGATTGTTGGTTCATGAACAAGCTCATTTGGTAGCTCGAAAATACTAGTTATGTATATATTCATGATCTTACTTATTTGATAGCTCAAGAATATTCATTAGATTTGTTCGTGAACGTGCTTGTTTGATAGTATAAAAAAATTCGCTAAATATGTTCACGAACATAGCTCGTTAAAGCTTGTTTGTTAAAAGCTCGATGAGCACTAAACGAACCGAACATGAACTAATTAAACATGAACATCATTAATTTAAACGAACTAAACATGAACACAAACAATAAAGCTCGAATCAACCACGAACGGAACTTGAACAAGCTAATAATAAACGAACTCAAACATGAACACTCACATTCTTGGCTCGGTTTGGTTCGTTTACAACCCTAGGCAGTATCAACTACTAGCTTGATCTTCTGTGAATGAATTAAAAATGTTAGAAAATATTGAAGGATGACGACGACAATCAAGTGACTGTAATCAGGTAGCAACAATTTAACTAAAATGATTAAATGTCAAATGGTCTTTGCACTTAATTTCAGATGTTTAATACTAAAATATTGCATCAAGATTCAAATTTAATCATATGAATCTTGATTATCTAATAAAATGCAATAAATTATTATTACTAGATGCCACCTAAAAAAATGATAAAATATTTCAAGGATATAATATTCACGCCATGAAGAATCTAATGGTGCTAAAGAGAACTAGCTAGTCATGAAAATTTGAAGCTAAAATTAATACCCCAAATAAAAATATAAATATTATTCAAATTTAAAGACTAAATCTAAATTGGAGAGAGAAAATAATATTACTAAGTAGAAATATTATTTTAAATTTTAATGATATCACCAAAAAGAAAAGATTTTATGACCTTTATAGAAAGGGACACCAAGATAAGACATGTAGTTTTTCATGTTTAGATTTAATGACCATATTAATTGAAGGAGAAAATCTGATGAGGACGAATTTATTTTGAACAAAGAAGACAGATTTATCCACACTAATAACTTAGCCATAACACTTTTCATGCTCCTTCTGAGAAGATATAATTTTCTTCAAAAAGTTACGACAACCTTTCTTACATGATAACTTCAGAGTAAAAGTATGTATGATTTCTTACATGATAAGAATATCATATATTAAATTTTTATCTTTAATAAACTCACTTTTTTATAATATATAATTTTATGAGGGATTAATTAAGTCCATTGGCCATAATTAATCTTGGACAAAATCATATTAAAGATATTGCAAAATCTATTGAGTCTAGCTAGTGTTACACTTGGTACGGCTGGCGTGGCACATTCTGATTGGCCTCCGGACGATGTTTTTTTACGTCCAGCTTCCGCACAAAATAATTTCTCCCGTCTAGCTAGTGTTACACTTCAAAAGTTACTGAAGATGGCTTCAATCCATAAATAAATTTTATTAACGATTTGGATTGTCAATAATTTTTTTATTTGGAGAATTTTCTTTCTACCGAAACAAACATCCCAAAATCTCAATGAAACAAATTATCCAAAACTCACAGCCACAACGCCCCAAACGTCATATCCAACGAAAGATAGTCGGAAAAAATGGAAAAAGAAGGCCTCCCATATTAATATTATAGTACCAACAGGCCTGCGTCAAACCGTTCAAAGCAGTTTAATTCTTTTTTTTTTTTTTTGGAAAATTTAAGGGCAGATTCCAGATTTCATTAAAAGTACTTGGTTGAGAACGCAATGTTGAGAAGCAGATTAATGCGGTCCAAACAGTTTTGGATATTCTTTTATAACGTTATTGGCTAGCTAGAGCAAACTAAGGATTTTGTACTTTTCTTGCAGGAATTTTGTACGTAATAATGATTAAAATAATCATATCAAAATTGTGAGCCGGTGGAATAGAACTACTGCTGATTAGAAGAGAGAAAAGATAACTCGATATGCTAATTGAAAATTTATTTTCGCTGAGATGTTTGACAGAGCTTTTACCACAACAAAAATATAAGAAGGGGATGGGGGAGGGATGGGAGATTGTAGTTAACTGCAGAAGTTGATAGAAATATAGCGTTAATTGTTTTATTTTTTATAACAATATCATTCCATTTGTCGTGATTGGCCCAGAATTGTGAAGCTTTTTATGTTACCGCAACAAAAATAAAGATTGCTGTTCTGAATAGCTCTCTTCTATTCTTCCCTCGCTCTCTCTATCTCCCAAGAAGCTCAAGGAGCTTCGTCTTTGTCTTCCTCTTCTTCTCTTCGAAGACCCTAACACCATCATTTGGTACAAGTCAAAGTTAAAATCAATTCAAAAGCTCTTCCATCCTAAGTATTTCTCCAACAAATCACACGAGTCAATTAACATCACCACAAAAGAGATGATGGGATGGGCTAGAAAGAGAAATAAAACAATGAGAACAAGAATTTGGTATTGTAATTTTCTTTTTGGGATATTTAGGTCACTTAAGACAGATTCATACACATAATGCATACACAAGACTCGAATTCAATTACCCCTTAAGACAGGCTCCTAACCAACAGATGAAGATGAGCTGTGTGTGATATTGTAATTAGTTGTGTGGTCATGTTCTATTAGTTCAAACGTAGCTTAAACCCGTGCAAGGGCTGTATGACTGTTGTGAAAGCTATCATTCATTCATTCATTCTTGTATTTTGTAGATACTATAACGGTATAATATTCATGACAGCTTACATAAAGATGTTATTTTTTTATATACGTTCACGGCTGAGTCTTCCGAGAACTTTTCCTTCTCAATAATGTTAATCTGCAAGCTCATCACTTTCCACCACATAAGACGAAGAGAAGGTCCAGTACTCCAGTTTAACACTGGAGTTTCCACGTCGGAAAGTCGAAGGACTGTGGGACTTCTGATTGCAGTGGCTCTACTTGTTTAAAATATTAAATGAAAACCAGCCTTTGGTGGAAAGATTTTTTATTATATTTCTTGGAAAGATTATTATTAATTTGCTAAGTGCGATAAAATACCCTCTCTTTCCTTGCAGAATACTTTAAACCATCTTGTTAAATAGACGTACATCTGGAGGCTTTAAGACTTCTACTGTATATGAATTGAGATCTCTTCATAACAACTAATGCTGAAACTTTTTGACAAATGGAGCTAAGTTTTAGTTTGTCAGAACTTTATTTTAACGAGTAAATGAAAAAGATTATTCCATTTTGCATTAGTGTTTGCATTCTATTTTATTGTGTTGTGCTATGTTGTTATTATCTAAACAGTTGTAAGATTTATTACTGTTTGATAAAAAATTATTATGGATATGGATTGATGCATGTATGTTGACTGAAATGGCAAAATGAATATCATTATAAAATTTATGTAATTAAGCTATAAAATTTTAATTTTGATTAAGATTTAGGCTTCATTTGGGACTGCTTTCTAAAACAATTTTTTAGTATAAAATTTTTAATTTAAAACAAAAAAGTTTATACTATAATTCTATTTTATAAAGCATTAAAAGAAGCATTACACCACCGACCTTTAAAAATCATTCCGCGACCTCCAAATACTAAATTTATTTTTCTCTCCCCTCTCTTAAATTCCCTAGAACATCTATGTTAGCCAACTTAAGAAGATTAAATGGCTTTTAATAGATTAAGATATTTAAATAAAATAATAATAATAATAATATATTAATATAATAATTAATGTAGTTATATTTTAGTATAAAATTCATATAAATCATTTTAAGACTTCAAAAATAAATAAAAAAATTCATAAATTAGCTCATTTTATTTAGAAAATAATTGTAAAATCGGTTTATAAAATGGACACCTGAAGGTCCTAAAATTCTAACTTGTATCGATATGTATTAATTTCTTAATGATTTCCACCAATACTCAAAAATTATGAAAATAACTAACATGATTTAAGTATAATAATTTATATCCTATGGTGAATACAATTTTTAAATTTGATTGGTAATGACTCTTTAAAAAATTTATTTGTTTAGGTCATACATGTTATTATAGTAAATGTATTCGTATTCATTAATAGTAACCATTATCCCTAATATCATCATCAATACATTATCAATATAGTAAGCAATATTAATATTATGTATGAATATCCATCTTAGTATTAGTAACAATAGCAGTATTTATATCAGTGTCAGTTATAATAATAGTATAGTATATCAATAATAAGTCATCATTAAGTGTGACCAGTGTCAATACAGGCAGAATATCAAATATTCAAAGGAGTATATCTTCGTCTTGCTCTTGCACTTATATCACCAAATCAGCTACCTCTTATAACTTCAATAAATGTACTCCTTATAACTCCTCTTTAATCACATGACAGTCACATCAACTCCCAAACAATATTTAGCTCCTTATGACTCACAATCAATAATTTTTGAGGGTATCATTTGAGTTTATCATATCATATATATATGATAATAGTTAGTCTATCATTATTTATGAACGCAGTATCACATCCAAGTTCATATTAACCATTTCAACATACTATATATTACATATTATCATATCAAATCATAGTACATCGCTTTTTAAATCTTTTTCATTATACATTTTCTACCCATTTTATATCAAATATTGATAGACATATTTAATAAATGAAAATATGATAAAAATATATTAAATCATTCAAAATAATATAATCTATAACATATCAAAAATTAGATGATAAAAGCTTATGAAATTAGATAATAATGCATTTTTGATAGATTTAGAAGAGATAAAATTCATAGAAATGAAAATTATAGATAACATAAGCAAGATGATATTTACTTACTATGAATAAAATAATTTTATAACAGGAACGAAAATAAAAAAACCCCAACAATCTTTTTCTTCTTTCTTCTTCTTCTTCTTCTTCTCTCTTACTCTCCCCTCCCCTTCTCCCTTCTCTCCTTATTCTTCTTTGCTTTCCTTCCTGGCTAAGCAAGAGGCATTGGCAAGGGGTGAGGCTATATATCAAGTGCCACATTGCTGCGAATCAGCGTTATGTCGATTAAAACTTATATCAGGTAATGCAATTCAGAATGTTAGCAAGATTTGGAGAGATTGATTTTCAGCTCAGAAAATATAGCAATTAAACAGATTCTAAGTTCACCATTAGCAATAAAATGCAGAGCTTAGAAAGAATTTTAGGGAAAAAAGGACACATAAAACATGAAAAAGAGAGTATAGCAATTAGCAATGAAATTATTGATAATTTTGAATACAGATCTAGTGGACAACATTTTATGGCAGGTGCAGAAGCAGTTCTGCTTTAATAAAAAAACACTCAAATCACAAGGGAAAAAAACCATAAAAACAAATAAATAAATAAGCGAGAGTAGTAATTAAGACCCTCAACTCGAATATTACTTTCCTGCATGATCACTGATAGTCAATCAAGGCCTTAAAATTTTCATTAGCCTCAGCATTAGCGACCAAATCCTTCACCCTGCCAGGGCGCAACAGCGGCTTGATATCCTCCAAGACCCTGAAGATATGCACCTTCATATGTTTCTTCTTTATGAGCTCAAAAACACAGACATCATCGCTTTCTAGATTATTGCCTACAGCAAATTTGCCCCAACCACCACTTAGAGCTGGGCGTTTTGAGAATATATATCTAACTGCCCATTGCTGCTTGTTTGGGTCATGAAGGAATAACTCTCCATTATAATCAGGAAGATGCTTGAAAGGGAATGGACCTGGAAGAGCCTGATTGAAATTTGGAGGCAAGAAGTTTACATGAGGAATGTATTCCATTTTGTATAGTTTACTTGTGAAGAGTTGACTATAGCATTATGTCAAGGAAAAAGAAATGAAACATAAGGAAGCCCCGCCCAACCTAGAGAACAATTATTGAAAAAGAAAACCAGGAAGCTGCACGGCTTTCTTAATGTTTTTTAAAGCATATTTTTATTACAAAAATTAAAATTTTTGTAGTAAAAAGCTACTTTAAGGAGTAAAAAAGCTGTCCCAGACGAACCCTAAATCAAACAAATCTTGCTGTAGAACTATACTTGTTAAATGACTTCACCAAAAAGAAAAAAAGGATATAAAAGTTATATAGTGCTATAGTACATTATGCTCCTTTTCAATCAAATATACAAGCAACAATATACATGCATTTTCTGAAAATATGAGCATCTGACAGAGGAAGGGCCTCGAGGAGACAATGTGTAGCCTCTAGTGTAACCTTAATATTCTGGTTCGAGCGAATAAAAAAAAACCCCTCTTTGCAAAATATGGAGGTAAAGTCAAGTATATGACCACTTCTCCATAACCTGCATTAATGGAAAAGCCATGCAATAGATGCACTCTTCTAAAAGTACACGTATGGCTATTGCAAATAAGTTACAAAAGCATTTCCTTATGACTTTATTCCATGGATTTTAATTTCAAGATAAGTATATGGGGAAAAATGATCAAGTTCAGGTAAGTTATGGCATTTCATATGTTAATCCAGGAGCCCACCTATAACACATAGGTTGTTTTCTCCAAGCAAGAAAAACTAAAAGAAGACTTTTATTATGCGCACAAGCTTATACAAGCAACTTCATCAGTGTCCTATAAAAATTTCACCAAGCCTCCTTATGGAATCCTGGTAGTTCATTTGCAACTGTAGTGGAATATCCCTTGAAAGATATCCCATATCTATATTTTATTTCATTAAATATTTATTGATTTTTTTTTTGTTTTTAAGGAAGACCGTTGTGATGTTTGTATTAGAGGAATTAAGGTTATAATTCTCCACAATCAAATCATAATAAAATCTGCATAAATGGCAATAGAATATAGCCATCAATTGAACGAGCCTCTATAAAATTCTTGTTGTTTTTGTATATTAATCTTCTTTTCTATTTTTTTGCACTATGTTTGCATATATTTCACTTATTTCCTAACACATGAGATTTAGAAAGGTTGATGTACGCAATTATACTTTTGCTTATACGTAAAGGACGCTTTAAAGACTTGAGGCATATCCTCCAAATCATATCTAAACATTGCACCAGGCCTGCACTAGATGTATCATGAAAAGTTAAAGCTTATACAAACACTTAATCAACATCCAACCTTTTAATTATCAATAAGAATAATCACGGTTATCGATAACTTCTATGGCTAGTATCACCATTCACATCATCACACATAGCTTGGTTTGAGTTTTATTTTAGAGTTCTTAGCAAAATATTAGGAATTTAACATAATCTTATCACTCCTAATTTGATTTATAACATGGTCATATTTGGACTTTACTTTTGCCGTGGTTAAATTTTGTAGTTGTAGTTACACCTCTTTTGAAGTAGTGGTTGCATCTCAGGAAAACCAATCAAAGTGCATATGCAACATTTCTCAGACTTTAGACTCTGCAACGGGCAATCTGGCTCACGTTAAAAAGCCCAATCAAACTTGTATCTGCGTTGAGTGAGCAACTTAGGCTTCGTTTGGGATAACTTTCTTGTTGCTTCTTAAAGCAACTCTCTAGCATAAAAATTTTAATTTTTTTACTAAAAAACTGTTTTAAGAAGCAATAAAAAAAGTTATCCCAAACTAAGCCTTAGTCTTGTGAACCCTGCTGGCGTGAAAGGCAGAGAGAAGATGATGGAACAAGAAAATAGAAAAAGCTGAATTGTATTCATATATAAGATGCAGTACAGGCAGCCTATTTATAGATGAAGAAATATAAAATGAGCTAGGAAATAGTATAACATAAAGTGTGCCACATACGTTAAATATGTATGCTAACAGGCCCCCTCAAATTAATCATTCATCTCATGAAGATCCGTGAATCGAGCCGACGGGAGAGGCTTTGTCATAATATCTACGATCTGATCGGTGGTGTTTAAATGTACAATGGAGATGGCCCCAGAGTTGAGATGTTCCCGGATGAAATGGTAATCTATCTCGATGTGCTTTGTTCTTGCGTGAAAGACCAGATTGTGCGCGAGAGCGATGGCGGAGGTGTTGTCACAGTGGATGGTTGTGGAATTGTGTTGTGGAAGATGAAGTTCAATGGCTAGACGATGGAGCCAGAGAACGTCTGAAGTGGCGGAAGCGAGGGAGTGGTATTCTGCTTCAGTGGAGGAGCGTGCGACGGTTGTTTGCTTCTTGATTGACCAATTTACGAGGTTAGAACCGAGGAAGGTACAATAGCCGGAGATGATTTCCTATCGGTGGAGTCCACTGCCCAGTAGGCGTCCACATAGGTGCGGAGTTGAAGATCTCCTGGTGTAATCGGTAGACCAAATTGAGGTGTGCCTTTTATATAGCGAAGGATCCGCTTGATGGCTTTGAAGTGGGAGACCTTTGGTTTCGTGCATGTGTTGGCAGACATGGTTTGTTGCGAATGCTATGTCGTAATGGAGAGATATTGAAGTGAGCCAGCTAATTCGCGATACAGCTGTGGGTCGGTGTAGAGTTGATCCATGGCGGAGCTGATTTTGGTTTATGTGGGTAACGATGTGGGGGCATATTTGAAGTCAATAAATCCGACAGTTTTGAGGAGATTTTCGGCGTAGTGTTGTTGATGTAGGAAGTAGCCATTGGACGTTCGGTGAACTTGAATTCCAAGTAACAAAGAAACCTCATCGAGTTGTTTGAGTTTCAATTGGGAATGGAGTTGTTGAATGAGGTTTTGTATGGAAGCATCATCATTACATGTAAGTAAGATATCGTCCACATATATAAGAAAGTATAATCGTACATTGTTTTGATCAAACAGAAGAAGTGAAGGATCGGAACGGCTGAACCTGAAACCGAAGGTCTGAAGGAAATTTGTGAGTTTCTGAAAAAATTGCCGAGGAGCTAGTTTGAGGCCATAGAGGGACTTGTGAAGTTTGCAAACGTAGTCGGGATGTTATGAGTCGGCTAATCCAAGTGGTTGTGTCATGTATATGCCTTCTTGAAGATCCCCGCGAAGGAATGCGTTGGGCACATCCATTTGACGAATTTGCCAATCATTGTGTAAAGCGAGACTGAGAAAAATCCGAATGGTGGACATTTTTGCCACTGGACTGAAGGTTTCATGATAGTTGATTCCGAATTCCTGAGAGAATCCCTGAGTGACGAGCCAAGCTTTGTGTTTGTCAATGTTACCTGTAGGTAGAAATTTAGTTTTGAAAGTCCACTTGCAACCTAAAATTGGTTTATTATTGGGAGGCGGAACGAGTGACCAAGTTCCTTGCTGTTGGAGAGCGAGAAATTCGGTGGACATGGCCGAACACCAGTGAGAATGTTTGGTCGCTTGATTGCACGAGTTTGGAATGTCTTGTGACGGCGTGGTGGTAAGTAGGTCAAAAAATTGTTTGGGCTTGGCAATGCCCGATTTGGATCGGGTCTTCATTGGGTGAGATTGTCTGATGGGAGATGAATTTGAGACGACTTCAGGTTGAATGGTTGGTTCCTCGTGAGATCTTAGATGCTGGGACGTTGTGTTGCTATTCACGGATGAGGGTGGACAAGTGGATGGAGTGATTTGCTGTTGAAGGGTGGAGGTGGGAACCAGCAAATGTAGTGATTGAAAAGGTTCAAAGGATGTAGTGGTGGGAGGAGTGTGCTTGAATGGGAAATTATGCTCATAGAAAACAACGTGCCGTGAGATATAGATTTGTTTGTGTGCATGTCGAGACACATGTATCCTTTGTGAGAGGACGAGTAGCCTACGAATACGCATTCCTGAGAGCGCGGAGCCAGTTTGTTTGGTGCGTAAAGGACGAAGCCAAGGGAAACACAAGCAGACAAAGGTTCTAAGCTGCGTGTAATCCGAAGTTTTGTCGTGCAATTTTTTATAGGGAGTAAGAAGGGAGAGAGTCTTGGACGGAAGACGATTGATTAAATAATTTGTTGTGGTGAGGGATTTGGCCCAGAAAGAGTTGGGAAGGTTGGACGCGTGCAAAAGGGTGCGGGCTATGTTGCACCGATACGGATACGGTGACACGGATACGACACGATACGGATACGAGATATGACAATTCTTAAAAATATAGGATACGGGTACGGCGCGGACACGGCATTATAATTTATAATCATACATAAAAATTAAGAAATCAATTAAAGCATAATATTTGAACAAAAAAAATGACAACAACATCATTTGTAGCCTTGTAGCTTATAATATCAAAATATAAGTAAGCATTAAATGTCTAGTACAACAACAAAAGCATAAACATAAATTATCTAGCACATGAAGTTTCAACTATTCAATAGAATGAATGATATAATTATCTTCTTCATTGGTTTGTCTTTGAACTTCTATATCATCTTTAATAAATATCATAGCTTCTAATTCAAGCTCATCAAGTGAAATATTAGTAATTTTTAATATTTTCATATCATCAAGAGACTCAAATCAATCTCAGAAATGAGAGAATTTTGCTCGCAACCACGGAAGTAAATATGACACATCTTTTTTTCGGATTTCTTTTTGTTTTTAAACGGACACGCGTAACGGATACGTGTGTCCTTTTGAAATTAAATAATATTTTAATTGGATATGGCTTTGGCATATCCGACACGTATCGGTGAAGTATTGGAGGCGTATCCGTGTATCCGTGTATCGGATACAGCACGCCTTCATAAATAGGTGTATCGGTGCAACATAGGGTGCGGGTTAGATCTAGAAGATGGCAGTGCTTACGTTCTACAAGACCATTTTGTTCGGGAGTGTGCGTGCAGCTTATGTGGTGGCTGATTCCATTTTCAGATAAAAAGGTGTT